TTAATTGTCACGCAGAGGTGAATAAAACCGAGGTGGGGTGCTTTAATTTTAATACCACACTATTATACCCGGAATTGGACGTTTCGGCGGTCTGGAAATAATAAATTTGGCGGAGGTGTTCGTTGGGTTAACTTTTTGCGCTCTCACGGCGATTACACGGTTTAATTGAAGCCGCACTTTCAAGAAGACAATTAAAAATATTAAAAAATATTTGCAGCACGCCGGCGAGACATTGCGAGAAAAGATTCAAGATTTCTTTCCTCCGAGTGTCTCTGTCGTTGGATTAATTTGCGGTTAGTCTTGTCAAACTCTTTTCTCTATAAGTGACTCAGCAGCAAATACGTCTGCGTGTATAGGAATCGATCGGAAATTTTCTCATCATTGACAAGCAATTGACACATTGGAATTTGTAAAAATGATCGACTCTGATGGAGCTCTAGCGCAGAGAGAAAGCACGCAGCAGCAAAACTCATGTTCACTGGTGTAAATGCAGGCAGTCCGAACCTGATACTCGTGCAGTCTCATTGTTCCCAGGCGACATCGCTTTATTATACTTATCGCGTGAAATAATGCTTGCTGGCAATGAGAAGGTGTTTATAATTTTTTCTGCCTCAAACAGTTTTTGCGGTTGACAGCGGTGTTCTCAGAATACTGTTTCACGCTTTAAAAAACTGCAGGCGCATAAATATTTTTATATTGAGAGACAATCTGTGGGGGATTCTTTAATACAGAAACTTCAATATTTGAACAAGTAAAATATATCAAATTAAAATTATTGTAAATTTATAACCATAAAACAAATTTACTGTCATAAGAGAGAAAAAAAATTATTTTTGGAATTACTCATTTGCATTTCTGGCCATTTTTTATTGGTACTTGTGGATTCTTCAGTTTTTTCATTAAAAGTTAAAAAAAAAACTATAAAAACTTTTTACTACATTAAAACAAATACAATTGCCTTGATCTTCTTGAATTGTCTCTAATTTAAATTCAACACCAAAAGGGTCGAAAATTAATTTATAATAATTACTTTGCGTTTCGTGTTTTGATTCTCCAGTTAACTCTTGTACCTTGAATTCAGTAGCCATTTGACCCCAAGTCCGTGACCCTGCATCAGCAGCGATGAGAAGGAAAAATAGAATAGATTAATGCAATATAAAATTATCGAATCACGCACGGCGGAGGCAAAAAACGCTCGTTCGCTCGCACGTAACCTCTGGCGCAAATAAAGATCGCAGAATGCTCGTCCGACAGTAGCACATTTGGCTGGCGGTCAATTCGTATATGCGCGCGAATTGATGAGCAAACTCTCACGAGGCATCAAAGGCCAATTTCGCAGCTCGTTTGCAAGCGGCAACCTTAATGTGCACTCCTCATGTGTGTGTGCGCGAGAGAGAGAAAATGTAAGGAGGAAAAAATTCCAATTGAATCGCAGGCACGTATATGGCAAATTACCCGGCAGCGAGCGTAATTTTACGAGTCGCTCGCTGCTCTTGTTAATTTGAAACCCGCCTCTGATGATGACTACTTGTTTTGCCCGTATTAATCATAAACGCGCTCCGCCGTTTCTCACCGCTTACCAGAGGGATTAGGATAATGAAAGGCTGCTTAAATGGATGGCCGTTGATTACAGGTGTGATATCGCGGGTCGTGATCAGCCACTGTGATTATTTTCTTACACCTCGTGCGGTTGACTCGCTCGCCTCTGAATTATGAAGATTCGAGTTTAAGGTTCTGTAAAGGTCCGTGAGAACAACGGCATTGCCCACTCTTCATATTTCTTTCCATCTACGCAGCTACGACGTTTTGAATTATTACTTTTTCCATTCGGGATACATTTTATATATATCAAGAGACGCGCTTCTTTTTATGAAATAAATAATCATCAAAAGAGTACAAAAATAATTATTTGAATCTGAAATAAGTGTATTTTTTGACACTCTCATTCGATATCTGATAATGCGAAAATAAGAGTAAAGATTTATAAAAAATTGCTTTTCATTTATTTTGACTGCTTGGTTTTGAGACGGTTTTCAGGTTCCAGACCATATTTAATTTTATGGTCCACCTCTCTCTTTTCACTCTTAATATTACTCGCAATTGAAATGTCGTGATCGCCTTTTCATGTCCATTTTTAACCTGTTCTCGGCGGAGGCGAGAAAAAAGTGATGCATAAAATTCGATCTTTCAAACTAACAGTCAGGCAGACAGGTATTATTTATAAATAAAAATAAACGGCGTGTATACGCTCGTCGTCGCGCTCGATCTTTTTTTCCCTTTTCATTTGCGGTGTTTTTAATTTTCAGTGTCAACTTGCAGAAAAGTCGTCTCCACACTCTCTCGTCGCGCTATTCACACATCACATAAACGGAGAAATGAAATCCGAGCTGCTGGCGCGGCCGAGTGTGTGTGCTGCGTGGAATAAATCACGAGCGCAGCCTTGATCAAATGGGACAATTCAGAATTGGTCGAGCAGCTATAATTTCATATCGAGCGTCCGCCCTGCTGGCTAATTCGATTTGAGCACCGGCCGCGGCAAACTGGTCGTCCTAAATCAAACTTTAATTTGGCCGAGGAGCCGCGCCGCTCGCTTTAATTGCAGCGGCTTAATTCATGTTTATTGGCGAGAGCCGCAAAAAGAAGCGCGCGGTGTCACTTTGATTTAGTGGAGCGGCGAGGAGGTGGCGATTTGCTTGTTATTATCGGTAATATTTTTCGCTCGCCAACAATCGGCAATTAAGATTCCCGCAATCGCCAGCGCGATGATTGTTTCCTGCAATTAAATCGCCACGGCTCGTAATTAATGCGCGAATCTGGAAGTCTCCTAATTAATGTCCATCAAGCAATTAAATCGAACAGATTTTTCCTAATTCTTATTTTATTTTATTGGTTAATGGAATGCGGAAAATTTAATATGTTTATATTCCTTCTATTAAGCAATAACGTAGTTAAATTTGTTTAAATTTATTAAAATATCTAAAAATTACATTAAAAAATTGGCAAAATTTTGAAGTTCATTTTGAGAAAATTGGCCATGTAGTAGATTGATATACTTATTTAATTTGCTATTTAATTTGTTTGGATAAATGTTTCTTCTTGCAGTTTCCACTATATGTTAAATTAAAAAAATAACAATAGAGACTGTTAAATTCCTTAAGGTTGGTTCAGCGTTTTATAAAAATAAAAAGGCAATTTTTTAAACATTTCTTAATAAAGATTTTAAACAGATCTACCAAAATTTGAACGGTAGTATCCCACTTTTCACTTCATCAGCATCTCCTTGATGAGTGCCTGTAATCCTCCTCTCAAACTAATAATATTTTTTGGCCCAATTTTGCTTCAAGCTATTACATTAAATTTAAATACTACTCTACATGTCTCAAAAAAAAAAAAAAAAAAATTTGCATTATTATCTTCAGGCACTAACGAAAACTTGCGATATATAAAATATATAGGCAACTTATAAAACATTTATATTAATTTAGTTATAAACCATTTCATGGATTATGCCAGAAAAAATTTTAAACAATATAAAATGAAATGATAAAAATAATGTAAAAATAACACTCTTTGTCAGAAAATTAAAAACAGTTGTTATGACACAAAAAGATTTTTATAATATTTAGGACTGTATTATTTTAATTTGTTATTTTAAAAATTGATATTAGCCTCCTATCATAGAATACGCCACATAAAGATATTCCGTGTTCGCTTTGATATTTTTTTATAATTCGTATAAAATCATGCATCACTTTGATCATCACACACAGAAGTCCAATTTCATCTATTTTCTCAGCACGCGATGCCATATTGGCTTGTTGTTGGAGCAAAGGTGAGTGGTCAGTGGCACTAAAAAGCGCCTCCTTGAATGCTAGCACAGCGAAGGTAGTTATTCCGATTGCAATTAGGTGATGCCAAGTTCTTAGAAAAATAATCACTCAGCCCCTCCATCTCATTAGTAGGCGGCGAGCGGCTGCTTTAATTGCTTTGTATCTCTCTTTCTTTTCAGAACATTATTTGCAAATCATGTTTCTCATCGCCTTTCGAATCTGGCGTTAATTTCTGGCGTATTTTCACGCCGAAAACGAAAAGAGAGATTCTTTTGTCTTCCAGAGAATTTCTCAGACGCGAATTTGCATAAAATGTATTGCCCGCAGGAAACGAACATAAAGAAAGACAATGGAGCAGTTAGACAGTTTTAAACTGGTGCAGAACGAACAGTTATTATTTAGCTAATGGCGCTGGGAGTTAAAAAAAAAATTGTAAATGGCGATCAGGAAATGAAGTTTTTTTAACCACAGAGTTCATATCAAAATAATAATTAAATTGCCACCTCGATCCGCCGCTGCTGAGAATTTATTTATGTAGAAGAACACGCTCGAACTCGACGATCTAATCATAATGCGTTTCTAATTATTCAGATGAAGGCTAATTAGCATATCTGCGTCGATTAGCGTGGCGCATGTGGGCGAAATAATTGCTTCTTCTCTAGACTCAGAGATGCTTTCTCGAGCAAAATAAGAAGAGCGTCCAATTATTTTAATTGGCTTCCTCCGAATGCAACAAATTGAGATTGAATGACCAGGTAAAGCAATTTAGCAAATATCTATTTCATATAATTAGCCTCAGTTATTGAATGAGATTAAAAATCAGACGTGCATTTGTATCAACTGCATAATAAATTATTTATTTTCATTTGTATTGAATTCATAAAAATGAATTGAAAGGTTTTTTCTTCCTCAATAATTCATATTTTTGTAATTAGCATTACTTTCGTGAAAATATGGTAGTTCATTTTCTAGATAAATCAAAATTACCTCAATAATTTTTACTGGGACAAAGGCCTAGTTCTTTCTTTTTATTATTGTTTTATTCATGATTGTATACCTCCTTAATTAAATAACTATTTTTTTAATGAAAGTCCTTTTTGAAAATGAAAAATTTTTCACTGTAATTTTACTTACTTTTTTTTAGTTATAATTATAAAAAAAATCACTTACCTTCAGAGATGAGTCGTTCCCTGATTTCCCAGGCGAAAATTGTGGGATTCTCCCTTTTGTACTGCTCAATTTTGGAGACGACCGCTGGGGTGGCAACCTTAGGTTTGCTGCCCCCGATGAGACCTGGAGGCCTGAGTGAGCTTGAGACACCTGCGGGGCCAGAGAGATAGAAATTTTTAGAGTCGTGACGCCACCATCAATCGATTAGCCGAGGCAGGCATAAAAGTTATTACACAAGCAGCACAAACACACATACATTTTAATAATTCATTCTCGTGTAGTTAAAATAAGAAGAGGCTTTCCTCGACGCATTTCGGCAGAAAAAAAAATAAAAAACAATAAAAGCCAATAAATTTTAATGAGATATGCAAGCGATGCCGGGCGTATCACGCCTTTAACGACTTTTTCAACACTTTCAGCTCAGGCATCGGCAACGAGAGATATATTGGTCGGGTGCTTTTAGCGCGCAATAAAAGTCCATTAATGGAGAGAGGAGGAGGAGGAAACAAGGTGCGCGAGAAAAAGTTCCATCCTCGCCGTGTGAGAAAAACACACGCGCTTTAATTGCGAACAAACATGATTCAGGGAAAAGCACAAACGGGATCAGCGAATTTATTGGAAATTGGCGGCGGTCGTGCCGCCCCCGGGCTCCACAACAGCCCCTGGTCGCGGTCGTGCCACCCGTAAGTGGGTGAGGCCGTTTATTTTTGTAGCGGTGCAGCATCTCGGACGACTTGATGCATCACGACACCCAACTGGGTGCAATTGGCCACTTTATGGCCGCCGCACACCAGCTGACCCCATCTCGAAACAGCAGCCGCCGAATGACAAAAGCGTGGATAATATAAAAAAAAAAGAAAAGAAACTTCTGCTTTCCAATCTAATTGCGAAATTGCTTTTTGAAGAAAAATAATTTTCGTTCTATTTAGAGTCAAATTTTTGAATGAATGGAAGAATGAATGGCCGAGGTTACAGACAAAATTACGCAAATTATAACTTTTGCCAATGACAGGAATTTTCAACTCGGCTTCAATGCATAAAAAATGACTGTATTCTAATGAGCCACTCGCCTGCAAGAGCGATCTCTTCAATTGTCATTGTTGAGAGTCACTTCCGCTTTAGGGAGGTCTCCTTTCAGTTTGTGTTTCTGCTTCTGAGCGACGCCCTCTGTGTTTTTGCGTGTTTTTCCATGTCTGCGCGTGCATTGTACCGAGTCAGCTGCCTTTTACTTCCACACAATTATCAATGGCTATGCTTTGTTACGATAAGAAAAGGCAAATGCTAGAGACGGACACAAAAATAGACCAGAATTTACGATTGTGTTTAAACTCAGTTGAGCGTTTTTGTCTTTAATTTTCTCTAAATGCTCTAAAGTGAACAATAATCTCTACCATTTCTGAAATATGAGAGGAAAATAATTTTTTTTCAAATCTATCAACATTGTACAATTAAGACATAGCTTATTGTATTTGCATTGCAGTTTAATCGTAATTAATTTTGGTTAATAATATAATAAAATTTAAATTATATTTTAAATTATTAAAAAAAATCTTTTAGCAGAATTTGCAGAAATTTTTGTAATTAATGTGCTAAAAAAATTAGCATTATTAATTATTCAAATAATTTTACCACAGGTACAGTAAAAGTGAGAAATTTAAAAATTTTATTTTATTTTGGACTAAAAAAGGGATTTATAAAAATATATTTAAAAAAATTATTTCCAATTTGTGATTATTTTTTAATCTATTCAATTTTATGATGTGAGAAGATAAATTTTTTTATCTTTTACTTATTTTTGGTAAAACGTTAAAAAATAATTAATTTTTATGAATAAATCATTGTATCCATAAATTACTCTACTTTACAAACCACTTTTTATTTTAATTTTATCGCAATTCCTAATCACGAAAGCTTCGTAATTGCGTGCCCATGCTTTCGGGTTCAAAACTGTCAAGCACCACATGCGCATTTTCCCAGGCAGGCGCAGCCATAATTACGCGCTCGCTCGTCGCGCGGCGCGATACGAAAATTAATTAAAACGTAGAAAAACGCAGAATGCGCTAATCAGATGCGTTTGATTGGCAGAATGTCGGTTGGGGGCGCGATTTCATGTCGCGTTTTGCCGTTGCGTGTCGATTGTCAAAAATTTACGAAAGCAGCCGGGACGCACAAAAACGAAAAAGGCTGCAGAGAGACAGTTGTGGACTCTGCAGCTGAGGCGGGGTGCATGTCATTCGTAATTACAGACGGCGTGGTCACCTTGTTCCTTTATCTAGGGCCTGCATCTGTTGTGTTCCATCACGAAATGGCGCACAAACCAATCGCCCTCGCGCCGCCGAAATCATTTTACAACTGCCGCTTTGGAACTTCTTTCCCAGTTAATTTCCTATGTTGGATTTATTGGCCGTAATTTGGGTATTGAATATTGATGAGGCTCGCCTGAGATGGATCTTCGGAAATTCGGCTTTGCAAATTTTTATTGGGGCATTTTTGTTGATGGCCGAGCTGCTTTAAAACGCGCCTTTAAGTGCCCATTTGCGCGTTTTATTGCGAACTAAATTGTGTTTAATATTCATGTGTGTTGATATTGAAAACGAAGTGACCAATTACCAGGAATTTTTATTTCTGATATATACGCAATTATTTATACAACTTTCAATTACGCCCCTCGGCAATTACAAATTTCAATTCCAATCTTGATTATAATATGCACGGTATATCAAAGAAATTCCTAGAAATAATTTTTCGGCACTGTTTTGAAATTAAGCATACAAAGCGGTAAATTAACAGGTAAAGGGTTTTTGATAAACACGCAAAACCTCTGAAAAATATTGAAAAAATTATCAAGGCTTTTATGTAATAGATTTAAGTCAGACACAATTTATTAATTTCCGTTCGTTAAAATTAAGCAATTATTAAACTATAAGTGTCTCTATTAAATAAAAAAGTGCGCAGTTAATTTTTACACAATTAATATATAAGGTCTCAATTTATCAATATTTTTTTAATCTTATTTTTACGCTCATTTTATGGAGAATGTGATATATTCTGGGCATTGTTTAAACCCATTTTTTTAAAATTAATATATTTTTCTAGATAATAAAAATAAAATTAAAAAATTAAAATGTTCAAAATCATTTCAGTCAACTCATATCCAGTGTTTCACAATTTAAATAGCAAAGTTCTGTCACCTTTTTTTAAGAAAAACCTATTTTTATTCAAATGATCACAATTGCAAAACGCTTCATAAAGTTTGCATAATAACTCTCAGCGTTATTATGGGGCAGCAGAAATAAATTTTTTATTCACCTTTTCCCACCTTGTAATTACAAAAATTTGTAATTAATTTTTCCTATCGATGGTACTGGAAAAGTCTTGATCGTATGTGCCGAGGACGGATGTGCAACGAGAGAAAGGTTGATGAAATGCAACACCTTGTCGGAGACGAGGGCTTGTTTGAGTCATGTTTGTCTGCTGTTTATTTTGTTACGCGATCCGCAAGAGCCGATCCGAGGCATACACAATAATAAATATCTTATCGAGCGAGAGGTGTAAATGAGATGGTGGAAATAATGATTTGACGATTTGGCAGTCAGCGAGCGACATCAGAAATAAGAAACGCACACCAAAACCGAACCTGTCACTACACTTTTCTCAGACACTCTGCTGACGCACAAAAAACGCGCATCTGACACGGGGTATAACTTTGTGATGAGTTCTATTACGCAGTTGAAATTATCGTGACAGCTTTTACGAGCAGCTTAAGGTGGTGGTTTCATGAAATTGTAAGCCACGGGGGGCAAAAAATCGCTTTCATTTTTATTAAATATATATATTTCTGTATAGCTTTAAATACGAGACAAAGTAATATGGATGTGTAAAATAAAATTGAGAGAGAGAGTGGGAGTGAACATGGCTGCACGCGCGCTGCAGTGGCTGCTGCTTTTAATCAGCTTTACAGCCGTTTTGCGACCAATTTTGACGGGACAAATTGACAGTGGTGACTATGAAGGTCCAGGCTGCGGATTCTGGCAACCGGACGGCGCGGACGGCGCCTCTTCTGTCCGGGGGCCCGATTTCCCAGTTTGGCGTCTACTGGTGCACTTTGGGTGCATTGAGAAGCGAACGAGCCGAGCGGCGAAAAGAAGAATTCGGCGTGTAGGGCCACACCAACCTGCTCAGTACCTGCTATTCTCGCATGGAATGTCCAGCACCTACACACCGCTCGAGTTGATAACAGGCAAGCTATGCAATTTTGAACAATGTAATCCGAGGTCATTCGTCACTACATTTTTGGGAGTCGGCTCATACTTTATGATTCTGCTTATTGCGTGTGCTGATATTGAAAGCAATCCTGGCCCAGAAACCTTTGATGACCAGTTTGAAAAATTAACGACTGATGCTGAAAGGATTGACGCTCTTTGGGCTGAGAATAAGAAACTGGCCACTTGTATTTCCCAGCTATTTGAGAGAGTGACCGCGTTGGAAGAAAAAAAGCGAAGCAAAAATGCAATTATTTTCGGAATTCCATCCGAAGTAAATTTGAATGAGGCCGTTGATAATGTGCTGTTCGACCAATTGAGACTAACCAAAAAGTGTCCTCAAAACGAGATAATTAAGCATGCAACTCGTTTCGGCCGCGACGGCCCCAGTCGCCCAATTTTGGTTCGATTTAAGGATGAGGTAGATAAAGAGCAAGCAGTGCGCTTGGCACCTCGTCTTAAAGGCTCAGGTATATTTGTTTCGGAAGATCTGTCCCCAGCAAAGAGGCTCGAGAGACGCAAAATAGTCAAGGCATGCAAAGAGGCTGCGGAGAAGGGCATCGCAACGAAAGTGCAGCGGCAGGGTTTGAGTGTCAATGGACAAGTTGTGCCTCTTGAGGCACTGGACAGTGATGAGTGGATGGAAAAATTCCTGCCTCCAGAAGAGAGTAAGAGCAGCGTCCCGCAAAATTTGCCCATTTCGCCTCGTGCGGAGCTTATGATTAAGGTATCCACACCAATGGCCCCAGTTAAATCAAGGTCAATGTCAAACACAGAATTAACAGCTCGTAAATGGGGTAAAAGCATACAAGAAGTCAGAGAATGGAAAAGGGACCCTAGTATAAAACGTGTACTTGCTTTATCAACAGATGACTATAGCAGCAGTGGCAGCAGCGAAAGTGTTGGCAGCAACAGTGACTGATTGAGTGAGAATCATGCGAAGATAGTCTTTGATACGAACTTTCAAGATAATGTTGAAACCGATTAAGTGACTGCCGAAGTGTTGAATTCAAGTTAAATTTTGTTTTTCTGCCCAATCAATGTTTTTTCTGGTTTTTCAAGTGTTCAACTAATTTTTTGTAATCAATTGATAATGTAAGTTTCTCTCTCCAAGCTAATGGTTATTGTAAAATTTTCTTGATATGTCGAAGAATGGGGTATAGTTACCCTACTGAGACATCAATAAACACCTTTTTGCAACTAAAATTGTAGCTATATTTAATTAATTATTTGCTATATTAATATTTTTTATAAATTTAAATTTACTTTCATTAAAATTATTGCTTCATTATTTTTATAAAATATTTTTTATTATCACACTAAAAATTATGGTTAGTTTTAATTTTAATACATATAATATTTAATAACAATTTAAATGTTATGCTAAAATTTTTTTGTGTAACTAACTAGTCCATTGCTCAAGAATTCAAGAAACCGACAAGTAATTGTCATTCGTTAATTTTAGATTCTTTGAGGGTTCGGATAAATTTAAAGAAAATTAACTGTTTTAATATTTCTATTTATCTGACTAGTTAGATTCAATTTTAAAAGTTTAGATAGGATATTTAAGCGGTGACAAGTATAAAATAGTGAAATCTTTTTTAAAAATTCACATTTTAATGACGATCGGTGAAAATAATTTAAACAGTTGATTTTTCATCTTATAAGTAAATTGCGGTTATTTCAGAATACGGAATTAACCTTATAAGTATCTGGGCTTTATTTTAGTTCATTTTGAACAAATAGACAAAAAATGTGAACACATAATTTTCTCATCCTAAAGATAAATATGTTGTGATTGTGAGAATTTTTCAACCAAGTCCGGAGCAATTTTAATTATTGTTTTTTGTAATAAGAATTTATTTACCCATTCAAATGTTAAATTATGCATTTAAGAAAATCAAAGAAACAAGCTGCAATAAAATTTTATCGGCGAACCATCTTGAAAAGTACAGAGGCAATAAAAATGTCACTCTAGTCGAGATTGACAAAAACACCTGCGCTCTCCGCGCGCACTAAAACTCGCTCTTTTGTTGTACGCGTTGCTCAGCAGAAGATAATCTTTTTGTAATGCAACTCGGCAAGTTGTCTCTCAATTTTCAGAAGCGCCGTGATTGCGTGATAGTTTCCGCTGCGATCACATCCTCCGATTTTCATTGCAGCAGGCCGAGGAAATAAAAAGCGCAATAAAAGGGTTACACAACAAAGTTGCTTCACGGCGCCTCGATTGACTAAATTATTTACAATTTCTGGGCTCGAAATGCTCATTAGCGATGGAAAATCTCGCATACATTAGAAAACCGCCCGCAGAATTATTGTTTAATTAACCAACCGAAGTTGAGCAAAGTAGAAAAAATTCGCGGAAAAGAAGAGGAATGGCACGATTTCACCGAATTTCTCCGAAGGCGAATTTTTCTAATTAAAGTCGGAATCAATAATATAATCGTACGTTGCTCGCAGACACGTGAATTAATAACCATCGTGGGAACGATAATGTCTGTGGGCTTTTTGAAATAATGCATTTCTCCGAGTGTGCTGGCGAGGGAACATTGCCGGGTCTGCTCAGGGAGGGGCCACAGACACGCGACACTTCTTTCGGCGGCCATCTTGGTGCCCGTTCCCATCGCATTTTTAATTAGGGCCCCCTCTGCCAATTATTTTCCGCTTTGGACGCAATTAGGTGTGTCGAATGGGCGATAGCCAATTCAAGGCGAGCATCGGAGATTTCAACAGCAGATTTAATTAGCGTTGGCGCGAATAGTTGGGTTTCCGCGTTTAATCGTTAGCGATCACGCGAAAAATGGCCTCAGCATATTATATTGATTTTTTGCAATAATCCGTGGATTGTATTTGATTTAATAGCAATTTAATTGGTGATCCTTGAAAATAATGAATTTATATATTGAAATTTATAACTGCAAAAAAAATTATCGGCCAATTTTTAAATATAAGAATCAAAATAATTAAACGAGAGTGTGGTTTGAAATTTTTTAATTAGTTTTTCGTCAGTATAATCCAAACTTGAATGTGATTTTTTTTCTGCATAAATCACGCTTCAAAAGTGTGTGAAAAAATGGCATAAAATTGATGTGCTTCAAGGTATTGACAAAATACAGTAAAGGAAAACAAATGAAAAAAAAATTTAATTATTTTGAACTCACCTAGAAGTTTGCTGACGGCACCCTGTTGGGTCAGCATGTGCTGCGCGAGGTCGTAGTGTCTGAGGCCAAACCTGGACAGCTCGAGAAACCGTTGTTGCGACACGAGGTTGGCCAGGGGGTGGTGACTGCCGGGGGCGGACGCTCCGTACAGTTCTCTGAGCTGCGGGGGCAGGTTGGAGGCGGCGGCCGCAGCAGCTGCCGCAGCGGCTGCATTCGTTGGACTCACTGGAATTTTAAAAAATGCTACTTTGAAACAAAAAATGGATCTAAATTTTACAGATTATTCTTTTTGACTGGATAAATAAGTATGTAAAATGAATTCAAATTTGGTAAAAAAAAGTTTGGAAATTGGCTAAATGATGAAACAAAAATTTAAAATTCTAATGCAATATTTCAGAAGGTACTAAAAGCTTTTAAGAATATTGACATAAAAAGTACTACGTAAACGTTGAATATCATTTTTATTTATTTATATTTTTAATCCAATTTAAAATAATAATTTGGTTTTATTCAAAGAATTAAGTCGAACATTCAATAATTTTGAATAAACGTTTGTAAGCATTAAAATGGCTTAAAATTGAAATACAATGCAACCAATTTAATAATGAGACGTGTTCAATAAAAAAATTAACTTCCTTTTTCATGAACTTTTCTTTGAGTATTTTTCTATAATATTGAAACTACGGTTTTAAATACCCTTCCAATTTTCTTTTTTTTTTATCTTTTTCCTGCACCCTCTTTAAAATAATTTTTTTTTTTAATTTTCATTAAATTTTTTTATAGAATACACTTTTTTCAGCATTAATCTTGAATGAATTTATTTGAAGGAAACTCCGGTTGTGCACAAAAGCGCCGAGTTTAGGCACCGATTGCACGGATTAACTTGGTTAGTCTGGTGGTCGCACGCGCGCTGAGTGGCTTTGTTGTGTGTCCTATTGATTGATTATTCACTCGGCGATGAGAGTGGCACTAGTCACACGCATATGTATAATATCATTGAGGAGGCGCGCGCGCACTTTCTGAATTCGCTAGCCCGCTGTGTTTGCAAGAAAACAGAAGCACATGCATTGCACCCACACACAAACAGAGCCAGGGCAGCCGTACAAAAGCGCGCGGCAGAAAAATAATTAATCAATTTACGTTATATGTGTTTGGCCGTGCAAAAGTGACGGAGAGAGTTTGCCTTTGTGTTTAAAGAGCAAACGTAACAAGCTTAGTCGGTGGTAAATAAGTGGCCTCCTAATTGGATCGATAAGTCAGGTGGCACTCGGAGAAAAATGAGAGATGCAGAAATTGGTGTCGCGTGAGCCCGAATCCGAGTGCCGGCGCAAGATTTAAGAAGAAGAAGAAGTGTCAGTATGATCGACGTCTAAGCAAACAGCGTTAGAAAACAAGATTGAAAATAATCAACACACGGCCTGCGCTGAAAATCCAGTGCTATTTACCGAGAGTATTGGTGCGTGTAATTTATGTAAAGCAGCCCATTATTCATGCTACACCAGCTAGGCATTGTCGGCCCGCGTGTGTTTGCCGGAGCTGCCGCTGCTAAATTATTCTCTCTGACCGCTCTTGCTAACTTTTGCAAACACAAAGGTACAGTAAACTGAATTTCCAAAAATATTTAACAATAGTTTTTGAAAAATTTAAAACAATTATTCAATTTCTATTTATTTACCATTTTATATTTTTTAAATAAATTGATACCAATTATTGATGCCCAGTATATAAATTCTAAATATTCAAAATTAAAAATTAAATTATTTAGTTACAATGATTTATATTTATTTAAATATAAAAGTGCTCTTTAAATAAATTAATAAAGTTCAATTAAAATTTTAAGCTCTATACAAAATTAAAATATTTAGCATTCTTCAAGTTCAAAATTATAAACAAAATCCCACATCAGTTCTATAAAAAAAATGATTTAAATATTCAGCTGTGATATTTTTTTCATTCTCCTTTTCTAGAAACTTTTTATGTTTTACCTATAAACAATAAAACATTACAGTGGTAGAAATTTAATTAATTTAAACTGAAATGTGGCCTAAATATTTTATACTCCTTCAAATACTGGCATGGATGTGACTAGTATAAACCAACACAAATCTGATTTTGCTCAAATTTATGCAACAACAAAAGACGGCAGCATGAAACGTAATTTTAATTAAATTTCAAATTAATTTCAACCAAATTGGAATTAGTAGTTCATTTCGAGAACAAAGCGCAGAGCCTGCCAGCGCTTTTCACCAATTGTGTTCTGCACTACTTGATGCGGTGTGTAAAAGTAAATTTTCTCGAGTCATGAATCGCGCGGGGTGTAATTGTAATTGCAAGTGAAGTAAATTTGCTTTCTTATACCTCGCGTTAGAAACAAATACTGCTGTATGTGTGTGTGTGTGCAATAAATTTATGGCATGTCATGCTGCACATGTTTAGTGAACAATGCAATAAACGCGAGCAGTCGACGCCGTCTAATAATAATATAACTCAACAACATGACTTGTGTGCAGAGCGAATATTCCGACGGCAGCCAAAGCAATAAAGGTTGCTGAGCAAAAATCGTTAATCTCCGCACGGCATGATATACATAGTTTATTATAATAAGGCGTGAATGCGCTCGAGATTGCCTGCATGCAAATGATGCAAAATGAATTTCGACCGCTTCCTGATTAGAAAAAGCACTTAGGCCTCGCGCATACATTAATTACTAATCTCAAAATGTGGCTATGATGAATTGCCATTGTCTTATTTCTTTCTCTCTCGCGCCGTCCGAATACAATGCAACATTTTAAACACCGCGACTTTTTATCTTTATGGCTGCTGTAAATTAAAAATCTTTCTCCCGCACTTCCTTTTTTCTCAGCGTGCACTCTAATTAGTGGCGAGCGAATCGAACTGTACATATTATATATTTGTATTATTTTTTCTCATCTCTCTCCGGGACATTCCCAATATTTGCTTCTTCTCTCGTCATGAGATGGGCACCGGTGCGTGGCACCATTTCCATTATTGTTGCCACGGACATGGGCGCTTTCATTGTTAGAAGAGTTAAGTAGATGCGAGAGATGGCCAATCAAGCGGGGAGAAAAGTAGGTGCATGCCTTTGTATTTAATCGAGCAACAAATGAATGCAGGCCTCGTTTGCTTCTCATTATGGGAAATCGGGTTTTTTCCTCACAATGCTCGAACAGCGCATTAGCATCGGAAAACTTTTTTTCCTGAATCTATTAAGTTTTTTACTACCGTGTATCAGTAAATGGCGATGAGAAATAGATTTAAAAAAGACGTTCTGATGATAAGCTGGCTTTTTTGAGTAACCTGGAAATTAAAAAAAAAAGACTACAAAAACATACACAGTTTCCAGGAGTTTCTTTTAAAATATGATATAATTATTTCAAAAAACATTTAAACGCACATAAATTCTGCATCTAAAGCATATTTCTATGATTGGAAATTTTAAAATCTATGTGATTCTAATAATAAAGAAAGCATCAACTATGTATTTAAAATTTAACCTGAATTTGTTTATGCAAATCTTGCTGAATGGATGCTTAATAAATTGGCTCTATTTTAATATAATATTTATTCTTTGTTCAAATTAAAAATATATAAGAATCAATCTTTGAAGTTAGAGTTTTGTAAGGAATATAAACTAATTTAATATAGAATGAGTGCTCAATATTTATGTAAATTCTAATTTAATTTATATTCTTGTAATTTAAAATGTTTTTATATCATGTTTAATAATTAAATAATGTTGTTGAAAAGCTGAACTTTAATTCCAAGTTAGGGAGCTAATCAAAGCAGGTAAGATTTTATTTTACTATTAATCTGCTAAAATCGTCGTCGTTTGTTCTCTTTCTCTAGGATAGATCCGAGCAAATTGAAAGGCCCTCTGAGAATTTGTTTTTCTGTCCTATTTTTTACCGAAACCATGGTTTGTTTATTTTCCTCTCATTCTCGGCAAAAAACCTTTCAGCTTTTATCGATTTTTACTCAACAGTGAAGAGATCTAACAAATTTTTTGCAAGCCTCTTTGCTCTGCCCATAATCATGCTGAACAAATCAACTTGCAGCAACGTAGAAAAGAGTGAAAAGAGTTTGCACACGCGTGCATAATGCGACGTAACAAACAGACACAAAAGTGGCGAATTCCGTCCTCACCAACAATTAAACCGGGGGACTAGATGCTGCTCTTTAGCTCGCCACCTGCCGGCACAGAATTTATTTTGTCCAAATTCGTTTTCACAACAATGATATAATTTGTACAGCGTGTTTATTTTATCACCTGCAAGGACGTTTGCCGCGTCCTTTGCCTCCGAGTGGAAGTGACCATTAATTAGTGGAAAAGAGAGAGTTTGATATACTTATATTCTAATGGTGTTATTTAATAACACAGCACCGCGAAATGAATGATGAGTGCGACATTAAGCTGTGCCGCAGATGGGTCAGAAGCCCACCTGGATGTGCGGCGGCACTTTCGGTTTCACAGCGATGAATTATTCAGAATTTGTAAAACAAATTGATAATGGCAGCTGTAAGTTGATACGGTGGTGCCGCGAAATCTTGATGGCTTTTTAATTTTGATAAATATGCGCATGGCAAAGTGAAATTTAATTTCGACACGGCTTAATCATCCTGAACGGCTGCTCGTGTTGTTATATTTTTTCTTCTTATTATTTTACCTATCTATGATTCAGATTGTGATTGCAAAAATTAAAATCAGTTATTTGAAAAAAATTTAAGATTTTATATATTATTTTTATATATTGGATGGAAAGGATAATTTGTATGCTCATTATGAATTAATTATGGACTCCTTATTGGAGGCAAAGACAAACCACGTCTGAACAACGATAGGAATGAAAATTTCCAAACAATTGCAAAAATTGGCTTCTTATTGTTGTAAAAATAAGGTTTGAATATACCAATAATCAGTTCTAAAGAAATTCTTAAGTAATCATCTCAGATTTTTATTTTTAAGTTCAAGTACAATAAGAATATGTAATTTAAACGAATAACGATAATAATTAAACTGAGGCTCACTGCTATAAATGAGGTATTTTTTATCTTGGAAGTTTTTGCAAAATTCTTGCTTAGTGGCGGCTAGTGGTGCATCCATTTCGTCCAACAATTAAACTCTCTGATCCCAACATTGGTGTATTTTTTTAAAAATACAACTACTGCAGCCAATAAATTTAAGTAAAAATAAAATGTTATATCAT